CGTAGCACGTTATTAGCAGACAGCTGTAACAGAGCAGGAGTGGAATTTAAGAGAATGGTCACACTACAAAATTATCTGCTTGGTCTGTGCTTGCATTTTTCATTTATTAGACTCATTGAGAGCAGACTATACCTGAGCACTAGGAGCTCCTGCTTCAATACTTGCTCATTTATCCTCGGTCTTTAATTTCTGACCGGTAAATTTATTTTAAATGTGATGGATAATACTCTTCTATTGCTGTGATTTTTACCATACTGCATTATTAAGCTGTACACTTAAAGTTCCACAGTTCAAAAACCATCATGTAGTGAAACAATTTGGTCTAGCTAGTGCTCTCAAGCCTTGCAAAAATAGAAGAAAAATACCGAACAAAGACACTGGATGTCAGTGTTGCTTCACACAGCTTTGTATAGTCTGGTGTAATTAGACAGGACTGAACACCCATTTCTAGACAAGATCCTAAAGCTGAACCCAAGCCGTGTGGGTCAGGACCCGGCTTCTGTATGGCTGGAGATTCGCCTTTATCTTGTAATAACTCCGGTTCCGCACACTTTGTCAAGCCACAGTGTCTCCTGAGTGTGCTGCATGATGAAGGGATCAGGATTTGGCTTAGTCATGGTCATATTGTTTTTAGTGTAGAGGCTAGGATCTTATCTTTTTCAGTCGATACCAACATTTAAGTATTGAAGTCAGGAGTATTCTTAACTGCAAATAAAAGCATTTTGTCTGATTTTGAAAGATGCACTGGGAAGCTTTGGACTTCATGAAGTATATTTTGTTTTGACACCAAAATCTTAGAGGTGAAGTTTCTTAAATTTCGTTGGTAATGAGTAGGATACTGAAAGGGATGCAGCTTCTGCGACCCAGTTTAATATTTATGTAACATATGATTGAAACTTGTTGGTTGTTTTGTTATTATTATTATTTTTAATAAATGCTCAAAGTCCAGGAATGCATTTCTGAAGATGCAGATGTCTTCTATTACTTTAGTCTTGTTCTGTTTTTCAGCACCCTCCCAGCCACTTCAAGAGCTTGTATCATACAATAGTTGTAGCTTGAATGTTCTAAATCATACATACTACTGTTTGTTTTAAATATGACTTCCATTCTCGTTATGGTCAACATACTTTGAAGATTTTAATATGATTTATCTTGGAATTTTTGCCAGCTTTCTTAATGAAACTATGTTTGTATATCCAAGATTTTTACCCATCTTTTATTCTTAAGTCTTTCTGGCATCCTCTGAATGCTTTGTCCATTTTTGTCTGAATATGACAGAAAGACAGCAGTATCAAAACGAGATCATAGAATAGGATAGAGGACAAGAATGAATGGAAATTTGGTTCACTGCTGAAGAAAAGATGAGGAGACCTCAGTCATTACATGTTTTTGATTACTCACAGCACGTACTTTCCCTTGCCCAGTGACAGTTGATGAGAGACCATGGGGAAGTGACTTAGATGCACATGTTCTTAGGGAACAAATGATATTAATCAGCAGGAGCATAGGTTTAGTTAGTCCAAAGTCCAGTTGGTTTAATTTTGGCAGATATTCAATGAGTGATCTGTTTTCCTGAGAAAAATTAAAAAGAGCAAGTCATACCATTTCCATCATAGCACTGAGGTACAAAGACTTCTGAAGGACATGTAAACATATTCATAGTTGAATTTTCCTGCTAGTTTATGTGAAGACTAAAAGCACTTCTTGAGCAAAAGTTAAGTGATCTCCTACAAAGCCTGCTTTCATATGAAGTGGGATGCCTGAATTTATTTATTTATTTCTGTTTTTAGGTTAGATTTTTTTTTTTTCATCCTCTGAGGTCAGAGCCATAAGATCAAACCTCCTAACTCCATGTATCCATCATTTATGTAAATAGCCAATGAATTATGAAAATTCAGGTTGTCCTCGCAGAATGCACCCCATTTTTCAGTGAATCTAGTTTAAAGCAAGCATGAGAAGCCCACCAAACTTGTAGTGCAATATTTTCTTTCCTTTTATATTAACTGCATTGTAAATTTCAACTTATGTAGTTATTTTTTCAGCCCTGTATGTATTTCCACTATTAGAATAATACTACTGTGATTTTCCAGAAAAATAATTATCTAGTAACTTGAAAACAGGTGTTAGCTATTGAAGACCATCAAAAAAGCTAACTGTAAGCAATCCAGCCTTACAAATTTCTGCATAAATACACTGAATTAAATACATAAAATGAAAGATTTCTCATGCTTATGCTTTAGTATTCCATAAAACTGTGTTTTATACACCTGTTTCAGGAAGGAGAGGCTCTCACAGTCCTGGTAGACATTGTAATACAGTTTAAAGAATGACGTTTGTGTACTTTAGGGGCTTATAGATCACAGGTTTATAGGTTAATGAAAGCCACCTGGTGTGAAAATGTTTGTTTGGTACGGTACAGTACGTGTTTCAGTTAGGGTTTTACGTGTTTCAGTAGGTGTTTTACAAAAGAACAGATGAGTTTGTTGATGATTCCTTAAGGTTGCACTACTTTGTAGTAAAGTGGTTTTCCGTTTTGTGCACCTGTGCATCCGCCATCCCTTAAAAAATTTGATTTCTTTGTCTATGCTGTTGCAAATGATGTATTGCTTTGTGGCATTGGTTTGAACACTTAATTAATTACAAAGTTACAGTGAGGAACAATGTTTTCCATGACTGGCAGTGATGTTGATCAACTTCAGATTTAATGATACTTCAATCTGTCTTTTACTCGTCAAAGCAATTGCTGGAGTAAAATCAAATTTCCACACAAATGCCACACCAGCATGGACATCCCAAAGACTTTGCATGTGCAATTCTGTCTGTGTCCAACTAGTAGTGTTTATTTTCAAGCATTAGCTGTAAGATGTTTGCATTTGTGCATGCACACAGCCACAGAGAGAGAAACCATCCCTTGTTATTGGAGGTGGACAAAAGTCTGTTGATATGGCTAATACTAGGAGTTTAGATATCAATCTGGCATTTTCAAAACTGTCCAAATTGTCCAAATGACTCTGCAAATACCAGGTGGGAAAATTTCAATTACAGGCTCCTAAACAACTTTAGCATTTGACACGAGAAATCCAAAGATTAAAGATTATAATCTTGAGTGTTTAATCATGAATCTTTGCTTTCATAATGTGGTATTTTCCTGCCTGTTTCAGAATACTCATTCATTGGTCCCAGTGAACCATGATTTTTATTAAATTAGGGTTAGTCTATCTTACATCAGTACTCACATTTTGTACATACATATCTATTTACATGCATTTTTGTTTAGTAAAACAAACCAGTCCTGGCATTTCATCTGCTCTTTAAAGGATGTTCATGATTAAAGGATGAGCAGGGCAGAGAATAGGTACACTGGAATATTCCTACATCAAAGCTTTGGCAGAAGCAATCTGTTTGTGTTTTGGTAAACCACTTTTTTCCACTTTTGAGTGATACAACAGCACACACCATATGAGTGTATGAGTGACACAGTAGAATGATTTGTGGTGTGTTTACCCTTGTGCTTTTTCTCTTTTTTTTTTTTTTTTTAGTTGTATACAAATTGTGTTTTTTGAAACATTTGTGTGACTGCAACCATTTCTTTTCAAAATTTATAAAATTAATTTTAAGATTCTACATCCAGCAGCCAGAAAACTTTCATTCTTTTTTTCTTTATTTTTGGTATTATTTTATGTTATATTTTTTTGCAGTATCATTAGGCATGCTGGTAATATGATTGAGAAGAAAATTTCTTATCATGAAATCAGGAACTAACTAAACAAAGCTTTAGCATGTTAGAAAAAAACATCTATTATCTGTGATGTGGACTGATATATGGGAGATATAATAAGATTCAGAATAAGAAAAACTGAAGTGGAGCATAAAAGAAAATGTAATATATGTTATAAGAAACCATTTTGGTAATATTCAGGAGACTAATTAAGTTATATTAAGCTCTGATTAAATCTGAAAAGTTAAATGAATAATTAAATATTTCCAAAATTGGTGCTTTGTTTCAGAACCACCAATGCCAGCAGTTAAAAAATCGAGTCAGGCTTCAGAATATCAGGAGATTGAGTTAACAGACTAAAAATGAAATTCAGATATTTTTATTTGCCATTTTAAATTTCTTGTAATGTTTTTCTATCATTACAGGGACTGTGAAACTGTTTTTATCTGAAATGAGAATTGAGATCTCATTTGAAATGAGTGTTTTGAGCAGAATATCAAAATCATGAATGGATGACACTCAGCTTTGTTCATCTTTATCTAAAGATTAATATATAAACTAATTTATACGAATACAACTAAAATATTTAACAGTATATTTATTTTTATTGCTTACTGTGGGACAGTTTGGGAGGGCACTTGCACGCAGATAATGGATTTTAGATTTTGATCTGAGGGGTCTAGAGCATCTAGAGGTACAGTAGCTCCCCTGTGCCCATGTTCCATATGGAACGAAGCATTTAAGTGTGCTGACACTCAGACTTCTTCTGCGCGCTAATCACTTTGTACCTGTATGTTCAGTGCAAGAAGTTATTTCTCGACCAAAAATTACTGGGTGAACTGAGCTCTGTTCTGCCCCATAGAGGCAGAGGGGCTGGTGGAACTAAGCCCCATCTCTCACCTCAGTGCAGCACTGGCTCTGCTGTGACCCTGAAGTGGCCCTGAGATGTCCCAAGGTCCGGCACCTCTCCCAGCACCACGCAGCCCCCGGCGAGCGCTTGCCCCGCTGTGCCTCATGTTCCCGCTGGACCGAGGCCAAAAGCACAGCACTGCCCGAATATAAAGCGGGAGGTGACGGGGGAGAGCCACAAACTGACAGGAGAGGAGACGAGCTGAAAATGTGAGCTTTGCTCTGAGTGCTTTACGTGGCTGTTCGTACAATTATGGCATTTAGTAAGTGCTTTTATTGAGCATAGTGAGAGCACAGCTGCAGAAAATGTGAGTGCTTCTGTGTTGTTTGTTGTTGTGTGTTTTTTTTTTTTTTTAATTTTTTTTTCCTGTAGTCTTGGAACCACAAATTCTCAAAAGAAACCTGGAGAACGACCCAGATCAGGGTGGTTTCTCAGCCATCCATTCTTCTGCACAAGCAACTTCTTTTGGGGGCTTTGGTGATGACGGGGGCAGAGAGAAGAAGGAGAGCGGTGTGGGGGAAGATCCGGGCTGTTCGCTGTGAAGATATCAAGGAGTGGTGCGTGAGGCGGCTGCCCATCTTGGAGTGGGTGCCCATCTACGACTGGAAGGAAAATCTGGTTCCCGATATGGTGTCTGGGATGATGCTGGCCATCCAGCAGGTGACTCAAGGTACAGTTAAACATCTGAGACTCATATCTCATATCCAATCCTGCTGGATTTATCTGGTTTTCTTTTATACCCTCTTCATGTTCGTATTATCTTAAAATTTAGGTTAAACAGCTTATATTCTTATCTATCAAAAGCAGTTTTGATCTAAATAACAATACAAGAAAAATTCTTAAATCTTATGCATATACAAATGCAGATGGAAATATGTGGTGTTATTTGAATAGTTTTCTGTGAACCAAAACTTCCTCTATATCCAATCCTTTGACAATTTTTCAGACTTAATACGAGAAATTAGGAAGCATTAACTCTATTTACACAGCATATGATTACATACAAGATTTTATCAATTACGTGACCACGTTTCCCTATTTCACGTAAAAAATAAAATGTATCTACGTGGTAATTGCATTGTAATACATCCACACGTCTGCATTTTAAGAAAATCTGCTCAGAAGTAATCGTGATTATACTATTACCTGTGGAAGCCCAGTGTACAACAGCAAAAGATAACAGTGTTCTGTACTAAAAGGGCACTTCTGTCAGAGACATGAACCATGGAGAAAGTGTGTGCATACACAGCTTGCATATTTCTGCTTCTGTGTTGACTTAGTGCTGTATTACATTACCTGTCACATCTCTTGTCAAGCAGCAATACAGAGTGAGGTGGAGTAGACTCCATTTGACTTCATAAACATAGAAATTAAAAGTAAAAATAAAACTCCTAGAAACAAAACTCTGCAGAATGACCTGCAGTCCCAGCAATCTGTGTCTCCAAAGTGGTTGTTACTGGGAAATAAATGCTTTGGTCTGTTTTCAATATGTTCATTGTACTGTCACTTTTTTAGGCAATATTTTATACTTGTCTCAGATAATCCCAGCTGCTTGTCTGCCTCAGATAATTTTCAATCCCTTCCCTTATGTAAACTATACATATATATGTTATTTCTTAACAACTCCCCATACTGGCTAAGCTTAACTATCATTTATGTTGTTAAATTATAAGCACTACTTTAATTGAATTATGCTGCAGCTGAAAACAACTGGCTTGTGTAAGTATTTGTGCTTCCAAGGTAATTAGTAACATCTGCACTGGCACGATTGAACTTTAAGAACCTTAGTACTATAATGCTGTAAAGTATCCAGTTTCACTAGTATGTGCCTTTACTATAATTGTAATTAAAACTTTTAAAACAGTATGTTGAAATTCATCAAAAATAGCAATTCTCTAATGCCAGTAGTTTTTGATAGAACTTTCTTGTTTGTCTTGTACTAAAAACAATTTAATTGTTGAGAAGATCTAATGAAGATAAAGAATATTGCTTTTCTTTTATGAAATCTAGAAATAATCTTACACATTTTCAAAATGAGCGTATTGAAACTCTTTCCTCTAACTGACTTTTTTCCTTTCCTTCTTCTCACTGCTTCCTCAGGTTTCAGAAGGATTTTAAGTTATGGGAAAGAAGGAGAGCTAGATACCGAAATACTTTATCACGTTTGTGGTTTTATTTGAGCACAATTTACTTCTCTAGAACTTGCTGCATTAACTCTTTTACTGGTACTGTAAGCCTCACAATTACCATCATACGATGTTTTCAGTGAGTGATGTATAGGGTAGTTCAGAATAGCTGTTCCTATGACTCTTTTTATTTTGGACAACATTTTATAGAGCTACTATCACTCATTTAGTGTTTTTCATGGTCAAAAATCTTGGTATCTAAGTGTGACATGTCTTTAAACCCAGTAATTTATCTTCAAATCAGGTACTTGAAAATTAAATTATTTGAGCTCATATACTACTTAATTTAGGATTAAATATGTTCTATTGTGGCACACTAGCAACTAGTCCTTTGCTAGAAACTATGCACTGGGGAGCAGAGCCTAGGAACGTTGTATGCGAAAGGCATGGCATGCTACCTGAACATTCAGTTGTCTTTAGTTGTGCAGACCTTCAGAAGGTACAAGGTGTTATGCACACTCTTTCTAATCAAATTCTCTATCAAATTAAAAATACAATCATTATCAAATCAACAATTCCTGCAGAAAGTGGATCTTCTGAAGCTTCCTTTCTACTTCTACTGAAGTTTGATCAAAACATAACTAAATAAGTCATGTTCAACCATGTGGTCAGAATACACTGATCAGTAACATCCCATGTAACCAACAGATCCAATTCCTAAGTAGGGGAGGCAAGAGGAAGGTAGTTAAGATGGGAAGGAAAATAGTGGGATTACCACGATGTGCTGCTTGGCGTTTCTGAAGAATGAGAGCTCACACCAAGTCATGCCTAAAAACAAGCAGTCCTTTTCTGTGTGGTCTTGTAGTTGTTTTCTTGCCAGCTAAAAATGCCAAGTTAACCTTAATTAATGTGTCTCAGAATTCACTGCCAAACTCTTCTATTTACCTGTTGAAACAATACTTCTACAGTCCCTATGCATGTCCTTTAATAGGGACATTAGTCTTTTTGCGAATTCAACAGAAGAGAGAGAAAGAGGTATCCAAGTTAATTATGTTTCTATAAATTATATGGACAGTGAAAATAGACCCTATGAATTTCAAAATTTCAATAATGGAAACTTTGAATACTCTAATTGCTGAAAAGATTCAGCTGAAGCTTGCATTGTCTCAGACTGCAAAGCCAGTCAACCTTAAGTCTAAACCAACAAAAAAAGTAGGTTTCATTAGTTCAAGAGCACAAAACTATAACTTAATAACACACTTCTCAACACCTCATTTTTCAAACATAGAATCATTTTTCTAACTCTGGCTGAAAAATTATTCTTACCTGAGGCTGAAAAATAATCTTAAAACCTATAACAAACATTGTCTCCTCATCTTGAAGCTTGCTGCGTACTTTCACAGATAGTTAAGAAATTTGAGTTTTCATGTTTTGGTAATTACTACTTTGTCTGTGTTTCTGAAAAATCTATTTTTGATAGACTAGAGAAACAAGTCTGTAAAATAACAAATAAATCCTCCATTTGCTTCTCAGACTAGCGCTTCATTTCCCTTTTAAAACTCATTAATACTCCATCAACATGAAGATGATTTTGAAATAGGAAGAGTTTTGTTACTTTTTTATTCATTGTTTCTCTCCTATACACACAAATGCAATCACTGTCTCCAAGTAGATTACTTAGAAGTTCCTAATATGTTGGGTTTTTTTTCTTTCCAAAATGAAATTGTGTAAATATAATCAATGTTCTTCACTGTAGTTGTTAGGAAGCTGTTCTTGCATTCCTTAGAAGTCAGTGGAGACCTAGTTGTAAGAGATAGCGAAACTTAGGGTGTTTGATCTTCTGGGAGGTAGCAAACAATTGCCTTTACATTGCTTTGTATGTGTTTGATTGATTTCCTTCACTTATTAAACTGTCTTTATCTTGTCCCACAAGTTCTCTCACTTTCGATTTTCTGATTCCTGTCCCTTAGAGGAGGGAGGAGGAGGCTAGGGATATTTAGCTGCTGGCCAGAGCCAACCCACCCCAGGTGTGATTCACATGAATCCAGGCATCTACTTTGTTAAGGTTAATTGATGTTACTGAGAAGATTATATTGATTAGATTAGAGAAGTGTAACAGGAGACTGGCTCAGGTGTAAGCACAGACAATGTAGAATTCGGGTGATGTGTTTTCCCAGCCATCATAACTATGGCATTGTGGATAATAAACTGTGTTTAAAAAAAAGTTTAAGATAGGTTTTATTTTTCTTTCCTGTATCTCATCCATTAACCTGACACATTAACACCAGAATTTTGCTTGTGTTTTTTTCATGTAACCTGAATTTCATCTACTTGGAGGAAAAGCATATTTAGATCAAACAGTACTTGAATTTTTCCTGAGTTTTCTTGTGTGATAATATTAAGATGCATTATAGTGTGGTCTTTTCATGCAGCCGAATCTCATAAGCCTGTCACCCTGCTTTTTGTTGCCTCCTGAACATGTACTATAGCCCATACATATCAGTTCAGAATGCACCTGCTTAGCTCATTTTCACAGTCTGTGCTAACTTTCTATTGCACTAAGCAAGTAATTTATCTTTAGTTTCAAGGCCTTTCTTAGGTGATCTTTCCTGGCATCATTTATTCATTACCACGCTGTTCGTATATCTCTGATTAATCCATTTTCACAGAATCACAGAATCACTAAGGTTGGAAAAGACCTATAAGATCATCCAGTCCAATTTTCCAATCCTTCATAGTCTTACTTTGTCAAACAAATACCTTTGTGTCTTCTTTCAGTATTTGAATTATGCAATTACACACCCATCTCAGTTTTTTGCCTTTGGATTGCTATTGTAATGTGTCATATTGTGTTTTGAATTGTTTCATATACTGTCAATGCAGGCTGTCATCTAGAAGCCATGTAAGTAATACTGCAACCCATCATTAAGCTTCTCTGACTGCCATGGTCTGCAAAAATGTTGATCTGAGTTTGTCAGAAAAAGGCAATGTAAATTTACCTCCAGTCATGCAGCTGAGTTCATAGTTATAGTCTGTTTGAATATGTATATTAGTGTATGTAGCTTATTTAGGATATAATTAGGGGACACAGATGTGTCTGAAGTCTAAAACGGAGTACTGTGGTTAGGACATCATATAATGTGAAAATTAAGTCTTCTCATTAACAACTGAAGATGCCTTACTCTTTAAAGATTCTGTCAAATTTGGAATAATGTTCTATGATTTGATAGTAGCAGGTGTAGTGTTGCATCCCAGTTACAAGTCTGCAGTTTGGATGCAGTTGGACCAGATGCAAGCAATAAGTGTGTATTTCCCTTTAATGGGAATAAAATAATATTTTCACATATAACAATAATGAATAGAAGAGGGATTGATCCTAAGACTCATTTCAGAGGTAATGCTCTATGTTTTGCTTCAGATGCACACAATCTAAAGATAGATGCAATGATGCACACAGTTAGGGGTAGTTTTTATAAACTGCTGGAAAATTATTAGCTTATTTGAAAAAAAGAAAGTATTAGGGAGATCTAAAAGTAAAAGGTGA